CTACAGTTAAGGTCCATACTAGCACTTTATTTCGGTTTGAAGTTAAGTTCTGGGACACCAATAATATTAATTGACAATTCTTAGAGCTAAAACGATATATTTCGAATCTATAAATTATATTTCGATTATATCGACTGAAATATTTAATCTCGACCTCACCTTACCCTGTATAAATTATATTTCTATAAAAATGCGAAGTGTTTTGTCGGATCGTCTCGGACAATGGGCGCTATTTCATCTTCAGCGGTATTCGTGGTATTAATAAAAGAAAAGAATATGAAGGAAATTAACGTCGAATCGCGAAACAACAAGAATCTTTGCCGTCTTTTGGCAAATAAAGGACATGTATAAGCTGACAATGAAATATGAATTAATACCGTTACGAAGCAGAAACGAATCTGGAATAGGAATAGGTTTAGTGGGTTTGGAATGGATCACTGTACTTTATCGGATAGGTTCCCAAGCTTGGACCTTTTAGGTATTACGTTGCCTGGCACAACCATACCCTGTCTCATCTAAAAAAAATATGTAAATCATTAGTAACTTCTGGATCTTTTAAAAAAATGATATTACAATACTTAAGTCGGAATATCAAAAAATCACCCTACTTCATGCAAATATAATTTACTTAATTAAAAATTAAGATTTTTTTTGACGTATATCGATATTGTTTAAAATGCATTTTTTATCTTTTCGACCTATAAATTTGTTTTCACTAGAAAATCCGTCTTCATAATTCATGGTTTCTTGTTTAATATTATAGACCTAAGAAAAATTATTGAATAAAGTTATAACAAATCATTTAGTATAAAATAATTAGCCGTGCTTCTAGGACATACAATATACAAGAACATATATTTAGAACACAATAATTTGCAATGTCTCATTTATACATATTTTAAAGATAAAAGCTAATGAATTTCCACTCTAGGATGAGCTGAACGTATTCACCCATTTGACTAGATGCCGAAAAACAACAAAATTTTGTTATGTGAAATTTTAGAATCAATTCTCCCTAACTAATTTAAATTGGAATTCTTTGCGAACACGAACGTATTCATGTGTTATTGAATGCAATTGAATGCACTAACTTTGCTTTTTGAATTTATCGATGCTTTATTTAAATAAATAGTTTGAAACCACTTGAAATATTTGAGATAATTAAAACTTGTTTAATTAAATAGTTAGTTCACTTATTTTATAATACTTCTCATTGCTTTTATATAGAATTCTTGCTTACCACACTATTACCATAATTTAATTTTATGCGACAAAATAAGTGATAATAATGATAAAAATTAGCAATTGTCTAGATATTTGCAACACTATTATTAAATTTATGCTAAACTGACAACGATATAATACTTTGACTAAAATAAAAGTTTAAATAATATCATTGATCAAAATTAAAATTGTCTGCAGCACTTTATCAATATACATATAGTATTGTTATTCAAAACAAACTTTTTCGCAAAAAGTGGTAAATGCACAATTTTTAAAATTATGAAATTCAGTGTAAAATATAAATTTCTGTAAATTTAGTTTCTTAGTGTTTTTATGATGCGCCTATAAACTTCAAGTTGCAAAATTGTTGGTGAGTTATAAACTAAGGTATGAAATTTTATATGCTATAGTTACAGAAACATTTTTCATTTTGTATATTGTGAGAAAATACTTGAAATAACTCATCTTGCTGAAACACGGAGTGAAATATTATCAAATTTGAATGATATACAGCAATAATTTCACTTGTATCTTCGCGGAATCACTTTTTAACTGTGAAGCATATTGAATTGGAGCAGAAATCATTTGCTTGGGAGTTGATTTGCTTCTTTCGCAGAAATGGAAATTATTTATTTACCATTCAAATTCGTTCATTAATGTAATAAGAGTTCTAAAAGACTTTTTAATCATTTAAATAGTTATGATATGTAAAAGAATTCTATGATTTCTTTATTATAAAATATCTGCTGCAATTAGTTTTTGAATTCACAGATATTTGCGTTGGCAAGCGGGACAGAGAAAATAAATGTTTGTAAGAATTATTATAATATATATAAAATTTTTATAAGAATTCTATGATTTTAATCTAGCAATAGTTACATAATAAACCAAGACCAAAATAATGTTTATATGGATAGTCGATATAATATGTTGTTAAAAGTATTTATTGCATGTGTCCATTAATCACCGCTTCCTAGGGAAGCTGTTTACTATCTTGTTTATAAATTATCGTAAAATATATTAATATATTTTATGTGCTGTACAATTAAGCTTTTTTATCAAAACATATCTATATTTTTCTATATTATTTTTTACCATATCAAATGTACTTCAGCCGTTTTACTATTATCAATGAGGAAACATTCAACGCAATCATCTAAAAGCGTGCCTCGTGAACAGTCATTAAAATAAATCGCAATGAAAAATAATTGTAAAATGTCTTAGTGAGTCATTGTTAATCTTTGAAGTCGCCAAGAGTATTTAATTGCGCAGCTAGTTTCTTATTATTTATTATATGCCAAAACGACCGTTTATCAGAAATCAATGCAGATAAAATAGTAGTTGGTTTGATATATTTATGCTTCACCATCCTGTAGATTGCGATTTACTTATTGGAGATTTTTGTAATGGCGGTAATATTTTATGTATTTGCTGTGCAGTCAAGCGTTTTAGATATAAACCTAACCTAAAAACTGCATCAAAAAGAATGTTATTATAACTGCATCTCTCTGATCGAACAGCAGATACATAGCATTTAGACAGTTTTTACTACCAATTTATATGAAGAAAGAAGAAGCATAACATAGCGTTGCCATAACAACGCTATGTTACGGTCTATTTTACCAGAAAATTGGTCCTTTAATATATTTTCCGGTATATCTTTTAAAATAACAAATATTATTTTTATTCTTTAAACTATGCTTCAAACGGTATTGCTGCGTTTTAAATATTTTATACTTGTCTACTATAAATTATACAGTTTACTGCCCTTTTCGTTATTTATTACATCTTGTAAATAAAATACATAAACTATAAAATATAAATAACGCACATAAAGTGCAAACTATTTTCTCTAGAATCAATAATACAATCGTCTTGGGAAAAGATATATCGTGTTTCTTATGTCATGTGGTTTCTTTGCAAAGCGTTCTGCATGCGGAAAGTGCTCTCTTTATATTTACTTCTGCATTAAAGTTTATATCACACATAGGGTTGAGGAATAGATAAAGAATTCATCGATGGTAACGTAATATTTTAGATAAAAATATGCATTCTAGTCAAAATAGCCTTTGTCCGACATTGCATCGTAGTACTACATATATATAGTAGTCATTTCAGCTAAAATTCGGTAAGAATCTCGGAATTCGAGATACCCAGCTGTAAGTCTGTAAATACTTGTATATTGACACCTAAAAGTAGTCTCAAAATCTACATATGGTAGGGTGTGCGCAACATGTGTAGGTTTTGAGACAACTTTTAGGTCTCAATATACAAGTATTAACAGACTTACAGCTGGGTATCTCGATCTCCCAGGTGAAATTATAATACTAATATTAATATTTTAAACCTAATCGCCTCCTCATTATCAAGTTTAATCCAATGGCTTTGGATTTGTGAAATCGGTTCAGACGTTTTTGAGGAAACGTTGACAAAATTCAAATTTTGACACAACACATCACAAAAGCGACTTTTGACACAAATTTTAATTATCTTATTTTTTCAAACTAATGAATTTTTGAAATTAAAACTACTTGACGTAAGGCCGTAAAATTGTAGTATGTTTAGTATGACAATCATCTCCATTATCCTAAAAAAAATCATCAAAAGCGCCCTTTTATTTTTAAACATTCAAATACGAAGAAACGCCTGGCTCTTTTTTTTTACCAAAATCTAATCCAAGCTATTCCAATACATTTAGAACAGTATTTGAATTTTTAAAATCGATTCAATATTGTGGGCTAAGAATTGGCGGAAAAAATTTACACTTTTTCTACTAATTACAAAAAAAACGTCTTGGCTGATCATTGTGCAAGTTATTCTGAATCGAATAAAATCAAACTTCGAAAAAGTAAATATGTATGTGAGCAGATTTTTCTACCTTTCTCGTAAACGGTTGAACCGATTTCAAAAATTCAAAAGTCATTCGTTGTATCTCAATAAGGACTTGTGTTGATTAGTTAATCAACGCTGATTCACTAATAAACAACGAATGGTTTTTAAATTTTTGAAATCGGTACAGGTGTTTACAAAGAAACAAGGACAAAAGATAGTAAAATCTGCTCATATGCACTTATACACTTCTTCCGAATTTGATCTTATTTGATACAGAATGGCTTGAAACATCGAGAAAAAAAGAAGACTGACCTTATTAGTTAAATATGACTTTTGTACTTAATTTTTATTTTAAAATGAAATAATATGAAATACATAAATATATATGTATAGGCATAAATGTATAAAGCAATCCATAATCCATTATACCAGGCACCCCTGCCTGTCTGAGATATGGATATATCAAATGTATAAAATATTCTATTGCTAAATAATTAAATAATAATAATAATAATAATAATAATAAAACATAAAATTTACAAGGATTGTTTGTTGAAAACAAACTCTTTCGGAAAGTCAAAAAAAATAATTACGTTTTTGCTTGTTGTTTGCCTCTATAGATGAATTATAACATCTAGTATTTTAGCAACATACTTAGTGAGTTTAAAATTATTGTTATAGTAAATGGCGTAAAACAAAAATTAAAACAAATCCGTTGTAGTTGTAGTTCCAATGCTCCAAAACATTAAAGCCTTTCTTTATATAAATAAAATTTATTCAGAAGATTCATTATATCGAATTTTAAATTACCAATTTGTTCCCATCTCTAATTGCAGACCGTTTCCAATCGATTCTATATAATGCATAAATACTGAATTTCACTGTCTTGAATGAGCACTTTAAAAATTTTACCGTTTTCCGTTACAGAATTGGTCGGAGTTGGAAGTGAGGAGATGCAGCCAGAGACGGGATAATATCCATATCGCTGTACCGTTAAATTAACAAGAAAAAGTAATGATGGAATATATCAAATCTGCGAAGAGAGTGTCGCAAGAACAATATGAGTGTTTCAATCAAAAGCCGCTATCAGGCTGTGTCTCTTGAATTGACTAAGTGCGTGAAGTGCTTTTTAATTTTCAAGTGGGTGTGTGTCTAAGCAGTGTGAAAATGCCAAATGATACAGTGATATAATTTTCAGTATAAAATCCTAAATTGTTTCTATCGCGACGGGCCCGATTCTCAAGATGGTTCTAAATCTAACGACTCTGCTAGCGATCACGCTGATTGTGTTTACAGTAAATCTTTTGACGACTTCTGATGGAAAAAGATCTGAACAAGTTGCAGCGAATCAGGAGAGATATCATCATCAAGGTTTTAATCAGCATGCTGGACACCATCAAAATGGGCGATCTCACCATTCTGCAGGGTCTAAGAAGCATTCGCATTCGGGATCATCTGGCGCCGGTCCTTTTATACCACTGCCAAATGCGAAGGAGCGTAGGCCTAATATTATTTTGATCATGACGGATGATCAAGATGTCGAATTGGGTGAGTTGAAATATAATGACATATGACAATTTCTTGAAGCGATTGTTGCATGTAACGGTGAAATGAACAATCGTTAAGACTGTGTATAAGAAATAACTTCCTTATGCAAAATACCAAAAACTTCTTTGATATAATTTGAAAGTATTTTGAAGTTTATTGTGTAATATTTATATATGAATAATTTATATTTTTTATATATTTATTTCGGCCTAGAAATACAGCACATTACCTATTACCTTTAGTCTACATTGAATTAAGGGGGTATTCTAGTGTAGAAATTCAAAAGAATCGATTTTTTATTTCATATTTTCAAAGTTTAACTATTTAGGAATATGGGTACGATAAGGTTTTTGAAAATTTGGATTATTTTTGGAGATATAGGCATTTTACTGACTCGCTCTCCATACTGGTTTGGCTTCACGCAGAACTTTAAATGCGTTTTTCTCAGAACAGACTTTTTCAGTACTGTTGACACGATTTCTCGAGTTCTACTCGACCAATTCACTTGAAATGTTCAGAGAGTCTTTTTTATAGACTTATCTATAGCCCGAACTAGGATTATCCCCAAATTCCAATTGTTACTATTTTTAAAAAATTCGGGAAACTCAAAAAAAAAAAACTTTTTTTTCAAACAGTCGCCAATTTGTAAAAAAAAATTTTTTTTACTCATTGCTAGCTCGGGCGATTGCGACATCATTGAAGATTAATAATCTTTTTATTTTTTGTATTTCTGATGGCTAGGAGGGCTGAAATCATGTCAAGTTTGAGGTGCCAATTTTTTGTGACTCCCCCACTTCATCAGCTGCCAGTTTCTTCTATTTTCAACCTTTTTTTTTAATTTTTGTATTGTATTTTAAAAATATTAATACACAAGTGGTAAAAAATGGATAGTAAAAATATTTATTGCTTTCTTTTACGACACTTTAAAAATGACCTACAATTCATCGCTCTACACTAGAATACCCCCTTAAATTAACACCGAGGATTTATATGAACAAAAAAACTTAATTAAGAATCCAATAAACTTCTAGACTGGTTTCACGGTTAACTTTTTTTTATTTATTATTATTACTATTATTATTATTTGAACGATAAGCAGAACTTATGAGTCTCTTAAACTGTTGAGATGATTTGACTTAAATAACGACTTTGGTTTTATAGATGACAACCCAAACGGTTGTCCCGGGCTATTTTCATTTTGAAACATATTACTATATATATTTCATATATTTTTCTAGAGATTTTCCAATTTACCTAGAATTACAGGAGTCTTGTTTGCCTATCGTCGCCTTTATGGTTTTACATACAAAAATATTATATATGCAAGAAAAACCAAGAATTTCTAGACGAATTTATTGAAGTGTAATGCTATAAGCAAATTTTCGAACATTTACAGTTTGAATAATTGTATAGAATCAAAGTCAAAACCAATTTTACTACTGCTTGACATCAAGCTGGCCAAGGTTGTTATCGAACCCGGAACTATAGTTTGTGCTTTGATCTATTCATTCGGTCAAAGGTTTTACACCTGTCTAGAATTTTCTGAGTAATTTATATATAAATCCATATTATATATATATATATATATATATATATATATATATGCTGTATTTTAGTTTTGTTTAAAATATGTTAGGTACATATCAATTCTTTTTTTTCTTTAATGGCATTTTGGATAAAAACAGCTTCTAGTAGTGCAATCATAATATTTGAATAATTTTAAATCCCAAAAATTCGTATAATAATCAATTGCGATGATTCTCTTATCGGTTGTGAGTTATTCTTTATTTTTTCGTGATGTATTCTTTCCCAGGTTCCTTGAATTTTATGCCTCGAACGTTGCGTGCGCTAAGAGACGGCGGCGTGCAGTTCCGGCACGCCTACACTACGACTCCCATGTGCTGCCCAAGCAGAAGTTCCATGCTGACGGGCATGTATGTCCACAATCATCAGGTGAGAGCTCAAAATATTTCGGACAAATAATTAGTAATAAATATAAGATTCAGATTTTATCACTGTTCTTAGGGGGCGTTCATTAATCACTTGATCGATTTTTGTAAGGATTTTTGGATCTCCTTACCCCTTGGTGATACGTGGTTATATTCAAAATTATTCCATTTTGCCCACGAAACATCATGTGTATTTTTAGTTAAAAGAAATTTTTTTAAAATTTTTGAATTTTTTTTGAAAATGTTTGGATTAAAAAAAAAAAAACGGGTAAAAAATAAATACACTTGATATCTTCTTACTATATACCCCTTACTCTCCCACTTTGTATTTTGAGTTTTTTTGGACAACCCCCTCCCCCTTTCCCTAAAAACCTCACGTGATTAATGTCGCCTCCTCATATACTTTACCAGAATAGAAATATATAGTTTTTTTTAATCACAATATTTATTACAACTGTTAAATGGTTAACATCTAGCAATATTGATAAATAATAACATAATTTTAAATAAATAAGAGTGCAAAGGATAGAATTTACATGAAAATAATATCCGCAGTATGATGATTTAATATAAAATAAAAGCAAATAATAATCAAAATAAAATTAATAAATAATATAAATAAAATTTCTGAATAATAAAATAATACTAGAAAAACAATAAAATATATAGTTTTTTTAAATATATAGTATATTCTACCATTTATTTGCAAGTTGTATATCTTGCATAAATAAATTGCAAATAGTTCCTGCCAATAAAATTTATTGAATGCATTATTATTACAAATTCACCACATAAAGGATGAAGTCATTTTAATAGTATATAATAATCACACTGAAAATATACATGAAATTTTTTTTTCAATTTTGTTTTTATGTACGTAGTTATGGAATTTATTAAAACTCTTCTTCGATTAACTCAGGTTGTTGGGTTATAATTCAACTCTTGTAGCAGTGGACTGTGTTAAACACACATTTTGTCACTATTTGTCACTAAGTTATAATGAAAAAAGATATATTTATCTATCATTTACTATACATGTCGCGGACTTTATTTTAGAAGTGAACAATTAGTTCTATCAAAACACTCCTCTACCTCCTTTACCAGGGGTAGCAATCATTCCGTGTAAAAGCTCAATGCCATGAAGATTGTCATCTTCATGGTCAATATAATAAAACGAAAATACGTTCGAAGGAATTTCATTTAAATAATTAGAGAGATTACATAAATTTATATATTCCTAATAAAAAACGAACTTCTTTCTTTAGTTATTTAATTTTATTAATTTTTTTACTAGTTTATAATAACTAGGAGACTGGCATTTTGTTTTTACATCCAATTTTGTATCAATTTCTACTAATCTGAAAATGACAATGGTACATAATTTGCACTTGTTTATACTTGTTTATCTACGATGATTTGCTTCAATAAAATGCTTACTTCAATGCTATTATTTTAAAATATTTGTTTTTCAATGCTATCATTTATATTGGCAAGCATATAGCATCATCCAAAGAATGATTACAAATGAATTGCGGAAGAAATGCATCTTAAATAATAAACGAGGATAATATTTGTCTTTTTATATATAGTATACGGTATATTATTATATATGCTGTTCAATATACAGGAAATAACGCACCTTTAATTCAAAATATTGTTAATTATAATATTTAGTAAACGTATTAATTTTTAGTGTTTTTTATATTAATACTATTTTAATTCAATATTATTATTTCCCAAATTTCTAAAACGTCGAAATAATACTAAATAAAAATTAAATAAATTATACATAATATTCATTGTCGTCTAATCACTATCAATGGTTTTGTATTTTTAAAGTTACTTGACTACTTTTAGCAAATTCATTTAATAATTATTGCCCAATGAAAAATATTATCTATACAGAAAACTTACTAATAGTGCTTATTTTTTATTTAAATCGGTTAAATTGTTGTAAAGATTAATATGATAACTATTAGATCTTATAAGCTAAAAGTTGTGATCAATAATAAGAAGTTCGCAAGCAAAATGAAATATATTTTCTTATTAAAAATAATTGAATTTAAAACAAGATAAAGTTTTCTTTACTGAAAATATATTTTAAAAATACAATGATATTAATTTCAGATCTGTGTACTTTATAATCTCTCTCAATAATACTATATCACACATCAAGAAATTAATACCATTTTTTATTTTATTACGTATTACATATAAAAAATACATACTTGATGTACTTATAATTATATAAATAATTTAAATATATTTCTATGTAATAGTTTATCTATATTTTATTAATATGTTATAATTTGGAACAAAAGTGTGCATAATAATTATATATTCAATGTTTCGTTTATCTTTTACAGCATAGAATTAGAGTTTTAACCTACTTTTGGCTTAATTTGCAATCTGCAGTAATACAACTGATTGTTACCTAAATCAGATAGAATTTGAACAATCGATTTGTTTCGAACTGGCGTAATAACGCTTCGATGACCTGGCACATAAACTTTTAATCGCATTTAAAGCAATTTACAATTCAAATTGAAAATCTGTCAGAGTTCAAATGTTTCAGTTTGTTCTCTAGTGCCTTCCAAAAATAGTATGAAGCAATCGAAGCATCCATTATATGGATTATTCTACTAATGGAATAGATTTCGATGACCTATTTTAGGTTTACTAATAATTAAAAATCTATATTATGTTTATTTTCTTTGCATCGCAGTAAAAAGCATTACTGGACGTAGTTCTTAGATTTTTTTTTGAAATTCTTAAACAAATATTTGATTTAATCTCAAAAGTCTTATGTAAATAGATGATCAATCAAATAAAAAAGTAGATACTTAGAAAAGTTGATATTACTTATTAACTTCCCGTAGAGCAAGTTATTGTAATCGTCCGAAAATCGAAATTAATTTTTTTTGCATATATTCACATTTTGAAGGTTTCTGAACATTTTGGCATGCCTCAGAAAAAATGGATGTGTGTATGTATATATGTATGGATACAATATTTTGTCCACGTTTTTGGGCGCACGGATCCACCGATTCGAATGGTTCAAAAAACATTCGATTCCTATTGATAGGGAGATATGCTGATTAGATTTTGCCAAAAACTTGAGAGATTTAGTTAGGTTATTTTGCGATTGTTACTTTTCATGACTTATATGTTAAAATAGATGAAAAAATGTATATAATTATATGTAAATTCTTGAATCGAATTATAACTTCATATTAAATTTCTTTCCAAATGGTTATCTATTGAATGCTTTTCGATCCTATATTAAACTTTAAAAGTTTTTTAGGATTGGTATATAAATAACTTATTTTAACATTGTTGCTCTAAATTGCTCCTTTTATATGTTAGCCAAATTTAAAAATAGACGAAAAATGCATATGATTCATTAAAAAGTCCTATGATTTACATTAATAGCATTTATTCATAGTTCCAAATGGACTGACTTTATCTTAAATTTTTTTATTATGCACTTTGTGCATCTCTTTTAGGTTATCATAGAATTATTAATTTTTATTACGTATGTTTATATTTTTAGTCATTTAAAAATAAATTCAAAAATAAATTTTCATTTATAGATATAGTTCTTCAGAAACCTTTAGTACCAGAAAATTCAACAGTATTTTAGAGTTTAAAATCAAACTTATTGTTAGTAAAACAAATTTAATTTTCTTAAATTACATATAGCAAATAATATAAAACATCGCATTTTCCACGGTTTCGTCCAGATACATAATTAATTTCATGCCTTCATCAAATCTCATACAGCAATTATTACGCATATCACGTATGCTAAAATATTGCTCTTGGCCACAAAAAAAAAAAAAAAATATTAACAAAATTATCTTGAATAAATGAGAAGATCAGAGTTTAATAAGAGAATTTTATGCATGTACCATAAAACGCAAAAAACGAAAATCACTAATATTTAAGTATATTTATTATTGTTTTATAGGAAAGCAGAACTTCCAAAATTGCAATACTAAATATTATATTCTTTATTTTTTCATAAAGTTTTCATAGCCTTTGTTTACCATTTATTATATAAACGAGTGAATCATTAAATCGATCAACCCAAATTTAATTACATGCAACTTTCGAAATCAATAAAATCCCAGTTAGCACGTATGTTGTTTTCATAAATAATCTAATAGTTTTAAATAAACATTTCGCAAAAAGTATTACAGAATAGCACTAGAGCTATAAATTACTGCTTCGTAAATATTATAAAATCAATTCCCAGTTTTGTACCTTGTAATACTTTAATTTGCATTTTATATACGCTTGCTCACATGTTATCGTGTATATAAATTTCTAATATAACGATTTTTATGATATGCAGTATCGATATTGAATATGCTTCCATATCGGATTACAGAGGAGACTCTATAATCAAGAGTTGCCATCGTCGTTTTGCATAAAGTCCTTTATTTGCAGAATAATATTGAATAAATTAGTATCGTCAAGAAACTGAGTGATAATAATCAAATTACGACCATTAAAGAATATTGGAGGGATATTCAGTTCTTATAAAAGAGTCGAGAGTTTTTCGTATGCTGTCAACCGAAATGTGAAATGGTTATTTTTTTAAGTTTTTTTAGTCATATAAAAGCAAATGATACTCGCGAACAGGTTCTATATAACTATAAAAGATCGAATTTATTTTGGGTGTGGGAATAAATTAAATGCAAAAGAGGAAAAGCATTTATTTATTAAAATTGTGCAAAAACTGCATTAGTTATAATAAAACTATAATGTAATGATGACATATTTCACATAGTTTAAAACTTTCTTTAAGATTGTTTATTTGTTTATCATCAATTGCCAGAATATCAGCAGTCCTTAAATAGTATCAGAACTATAATTGTTTTTGAAATTTATGCAAACTTATTTCTTTCATAGTCATTTAAAGTCATTAAAATTTAGTCATTTATTCATATCACATCACAAACTATCTTAAAATTATCTTGATTCATTAAAATTTATGAATTACTTAATTTTCTATGGGCCTAATTTTTGTTTTACATCCAAAAAATTGAAAAACAAAAAGTAAATAATTGTAACCCTCTATTTGCAAATGAAAAACATTATTTACATATAATTATAGATAGCAGTTACCCCAGTGGGTAATTACTATTAGATACAATATATTGGATTAAAGTAATTGGCCACAGTCTTCTAAATTCTGGTGCAAGAAGCAGTGGAGCAATGAGTTTATTAGGTTGACTTTATAATTTGTGATGGCAATTAGTCGATCTTGTTTTTAAAACGTCTTTAATGTATAGCACATTAAGATCATCGTGCAAAGTTTTATTGCTCACTTGCCATAGTGCACCTGTCATCATTCTAAGTATTTTAGATTAAGTTCTCTGTACCAATAATACATTTGACTTTGCTAGAGTATCTCCAAAACTTTATCCCACATGACCAACTAGGAATTATTATTGCTTTGTAAAGCAGGATTTTATTTTCAAGTGCTAATTTTGAATTATGTCCTATAAGCCAATATAGTTCCCTCATTCTGGATTTGATAGCTTTAATTTGATAGCTGTGATGGAGGTTATTTAAATTATAGGGTTATTGAAAAACGATCGTTTGGTTGATTTTTTGAAAAAATGTTGACTATTCAGTATAATTTATTTGTGCTAATAGCAATGTATGAATTGTCCATAATGGTAAGACCGAAATATACCAAGTTGACGAAGGGAACAACAATAATATTAATGCATAATTTTTAGAATTCTTAGCGTAGGTGACTTTTGTACCGATATTATAAATAGCAATTAAATCATTACAATTTAGATGAATTATCTCAATATTATAAATTTTGTCCAATTTCAGGTTTTCACCAACAACGACAACTGCAGCAGTCCACAGTGGCAGGCAAGTCACGAGACTCGCAGCTTCGCAACGTATCTCTCGAATGCTGGTTACAGAACTGGTAAATATTGAACAAAATATCTTTGAAAATCGACACACTTACAAATATTCTTTATGGAACATAAATGACAGCTTCTCGCCTTGCCCAATCTACATAGGTCAATAGCACGTGTCAGAGAAGCAGTTCAAGGTCCATGTTGTTGCATTTTATCAAAAGCTTCATATTTCGATTTCAATACTGTAATTGATTAGTTTCTCCTTGGTTACAATTTGTATGTTTACTGGGTCCCTTCGAACGGTTCTGATCTTTTTCTCACGTAGACAATGACCTTATTTCAACATACAGAATGTATTTTTTTCATATTTTGTTCTGTGATGATTATTCATAAATATGATAGTAATAAAGTAAATGACAAATAATTTAATATCAGATAACTTAAATCAGTGGTTTCCAACCTTTTTGAAATAATATCTCACCTTTCCCACTATCTCTGGATTAACACAAATTTTTCAAGACTAAGACTGGCCAAATCGGTTTAGCAGTTCTTGAGTTTTAGCACACCAAGAAGATTTCGAGTGAGAAATTTAGAAATAAAAGAATTATATAAATCAATTTTGCAAAAATTTATACAATTGGGCATTCTCTTAGGTAGAGGTTAGGTCTATGAGGTTTTAATCAGAAGTTTTAGGCTCGATACCCTACTCGGCGTCAGCTTGATGTCAAGCAGTGGTGACCTTATTTCAAACACGATCATACTCTTTACTTAAATGAATAATAAACGTGAAAGATTCATAACATATCAAAATTAGATTTTTAAAACAAGTTTCGAGTATGTAATTTGAAAATGTAGGTACGAATAACGTAAATCATTTTGCAACATATTTATATTCTTCATATCGTATATTTTTATACCACATGTATCTAAAAATATTTTTCAAATTCTCTGTAATTCAGATGCTAAAATAGTAGATGATATTACAGTTTCATCCATGATATTGCTTCTATCTGATTATTGCGTGCCTATAATTTGCTAGGATGTAATTATTGCTATAATAAAAGTCAATTACATTAAATTACTAGGCAGATTTTAATCAAACAAGTACTTAAATCGTTATTATAAAATGATGATGATAGATAATAACTAAAATCGCATAGAACAGTGGTAGTCAAGAATTTTTATTAAACTACTCTATTTTAAGTTCTACAACTTCTATAGATACAATATATACAATTTTGGATGAAGGTGCTTCCAACAACTGGAAAAGCCTTTATCTATATAATTTTATAAATTTATTTATATAATGATGGTTAATTAGTAATATGACATAGAACAGTGACACTGCAGTCGTTTTTATTTCAATTATATTGTACTTTAAGTTTTGCAACTTATATACTATAAAAACATTTTTTGGATGAATCTGGTCTAGCAATGGTATTGGTGCTCGCAACAATATGGGCTCTATTTTTTAAAAATAAAATAAAATAGTAAAGAAAGATTTTAATAATCGAGAGTAAAACCATACATATTTGTACAAAACTGATATTTAATAAATACAATTTCAAACTTGTAGCAAGAATTGGTCAAGGCAATGCCCAAACTCGCTCACCTAAAAGCAAATATTCTCTACAATGTAGATGATGTAGAGTCTACATCAATATTATGTTCTATATAATTATTAATTATTGCCTCTGTCTATTCCCAGGTTATTTTGGCAAATATCTGAATAAATACAATGGTTCTTATATACCTCCTGGTTGGAGAGAATGGGGAGGACTTATTATGAACTCCAAATACTACAATTACTCTGTCAACATGAATGGGCAGAAGATCAAGCACGGCGATGATTATCACAAAGTGAGTAATGCATAATTTTGCCTCTTTTTGTTAAAACGAATTGTGCTTTTTGTTAATTGCAGTGGATGAAGGAAAAATTGTCTTGTTTTTATTTTGTACTCGAGATTTTCAACTGTTCTTTAATCGTCCGATAATTAAAGTGCATTTACGTTTAGAGACTTCTTGTCATCGCGTTTAAAGTTAATTCTATGGCAGAGAAAAAATGAAATATTTTTTATTTTATTTTCTTAAAATTTTTGAAATAATACTTCTTTACGCACAACTAGGGTGTAAATCACCAATAACCGTTCATGTCATATTTGAAGTATAAAGCCATTCTTATACACATTATATAAATTTGTATAATGGTTGACACTAATAAATATGTGTATCACGAGTGTTACTATATTACTAAGAAACATTATTCAAAATTGTTTATGATGTATTTATTTTTACTTAAATGCCATCATATACAGTAGCAAATTAGTTTTACTTCAATCGCCTAAGAACCTTACGCGCACTCTTTTTTATATAAAAGTACCGAAGATATATTACAATATGTTAAAGGACTTAAATCTAATTATCTTAAATCTAATAAATTACCTATATAATCATACCGTACGATACCTAAGACCATCAGTTCCTACACTTATATATAAATCTATTACCGCTTCATCATTATTTGCTATTAACCTATCATATATAACATACTACCTACATATCTTTTTACCCCCTACAAACCTTACATTCTACCAATTATACGCTATATTATACTCTTATCTATTATCACAGGTCAACAAAGAAAATGGTGCAAACGATTTTGATACTGTTTTTAAGTATATTTGGGGCGCTGATTTCAAAAATGACATTGGTTTTTTTCTATGAGCTTTAGTTTTCAAGATACGATATATATGATATATTTTACGATATTAGATGCGCAACTAAGTTCTCGCTGTTTTTTCGATGAAAATGTAACTTTATTTTAAAAAAATTGCATCAATTGAGTTCGATACTGTTCTCCAGTGATGGTTTCACTCGGTTTCAACAGCTCATAACAGATAACACCGACCTGGTCCCACCATATGTAGAGCATAACCTTCGCAGTGAATATTCGGCCGAACCGAGATTTTCTCGTCTTTGGATTGCTGTAATGTATTCATTTTTTATCACCTGTCACGATGTGATGAAGAACCTCTTCTTTTCTCGCCGCTGGAGCAGTTGTTTACAGGCGAAAAAATGACGCTCGACGTCTCTTTGCTTCAGCTCACAAGGAACCGAAGTTTCTTGCTTCTAAGTCATCCCCGACGCATGCAATAGCTTGGAAATGGCTTGATGGGTAACTCCTAATTCTAAAGCAAGATCTTCTTGAGTTTGGCACGAATCCTCTTCGAACAAGGCCTTCAATTTATCGTTTATGAAGGTTTTGGCCTTCCTTCACGAGGGTGGTCGTCAACATCAAAATCACCATTTTTGAAGCGACAAAACCCTTCACGGCATGTTGTTTCGCTCAGAGCAACATTTCCGTAGGTCTCGATGCACTTGAGTTCCCGTTTTTTTTAATGGAAGACGAAAATCAACACTCCTCGCAAATAACGATTGTTTGGCATAAAATTGGACATATTCACTTAACCAGAAGTATATAATGCAAAAACGAAATCAATTATGTGTCGCAGCAGTTTGTTTACTTACTCTAAGCTTGCTTCAAGACGTTTTGGATTTGTCAAAATCGACCAACCCTTACTGATAGAGCCATATACTGACAAACAGCGAGAACTTAGTTGCGCACCTAATATAAGGAACGAAAGTACAAAATAGTAATACAATTCCGAATGTTATTTTAAGGAGATATGACTACTCGTACATACAAACTTACAAGACCCATTCGGCCTTAGTTAGGGCATTACTTGACACTGTAAAAAGCTCTTATCCGTGACGACCTCGAATGGACCTGGTTTCGGCAACTTTTTTGTATCTCAAAAACTAGAGCTGATACAAAGAAATGGTTTGCAGATTTGAAATCAGCGCAAAAAATACTATAAGAATCAGCTCTAACATTTGAGGCACCAAAAAAAATATTTTTTTTGTTGGCCTGTGTTATCTATTGTCTCTACCTTATACTCTGTCTATCGCCCACACCGGGAATTGAACCCGGGACCACCGCGTGGCAGTCCAGCGCCTTAACCACTACTCTATTGGGTCCCCCACAAATAATATATTAAGGGACGCACTGTTTTTCCGCGGTACCTTTACCTATTAATTAAGTAATTAATATTAAGGTGACGCGACGACGCGCGGAAAAAGGCGACCAACCGTGGCGGTACGGTGGTCTTGTGGTTAAGGTCGTTGCCTGCCACGCAGAGGGCTCGGGTTCGATTCTCGGTAGGGTTCGAAAAAATTAGCGTTTAAGAAACATTATAGGTGTAAGATAAGAAATAATATATTGGGCGTATTATATATATAGGGCTGTAGGCATATTAGGCGTACTATATAGTTAGTTAAAAGGCGTACAATATAGAGTTTAAGGTTTAAGCATACGTGAATATGATACAAGCATCTTATTAGAAATACATGTTATATAAAAATCGGTTGCAGAATTTTGATACGGGTATTGTATAAAATGCATTTTTATCCTTATAACAACTCTTTAAATATTATTTTATACATGCTAAATAAAGTACGTGGCATATCTCAACATTTAATTTTTGCAGCCACGAGTACAAGTTTTACACAAGAAAGTTTTTCTGTAGTATCTTCAATTCTTCATAAAGTAATCACTTTCCGAAAATGTATTTTTCAAAATTATGTAAATAATTTAAATTCAAAATAGATATTGTTGAACTGAGAAAACAAAAAAAAAATTTGCTTAAAAATACAATTTATATTTTTTGAACCTTACGCGCACTCTTTTTTTTCAATTTTATTACTATTGAATGTGGAATTGAATTTATTTAAAATTATTACTTTATTTGAGTAAATTCACCTGCTAACTGAAACTTTATTGATTTTAGTTGTTGGTAATTTGATTTAAATACCAAAATATGTGTTGATAGATTTAATAATTTATTGATTGCGTTAATGAGTTATATCAAAGTTTATATGATAAAATGCAAATATGGGTAACAAATTGAAAAAAACACATTTTTTTAAGAACTGCTATTTGGGAAGCTCTGTTCCAGTTGAATAACTATTTTAGAATTAATTATTGTTAATTGCAGTCAACAAAATAAAATTATGTTATTTTTATTTCGACTGTTTTTTAATCGCCCGATAATTAAAGTGCATTTACATTTAGAGTTTTACATAACGTTTAAAGTCTTTAATTCTATGTCATTACGCTGAATAAAAAATAAAATTTTTTATTTTATTCTATAAAAGACGTATTTTTGTTTCATTACAAGTTAAATTGCTAGGTAACGAACATAATAACTTTTATAATAAATCCAATAACAGAGTAACTATAAAATCTTATAATAGTTCTTACAAGCAGCTTTTGATTATAAAAAATAGGAAAGTAATCGGCTTTCAAAAACATGGTTTTCGAATTAATAGTTTAGTTTTATAGTAAGTTTTTCTCTACTGTAATCATTTTCCAAAAATGTATTTCACGAAATTATATAGAAAAAAAGTGTTGCATTATTATAATTGAGAAATAACTTCATATGGTGTTGTTTTGAGAAATAAAATTTACCGAAAATTTTAAAGGCAAATAAAAAAAAGAATATAAAATCTCTTAAATATCTTAGAAAAGGAAAGTGATTATGCTAACAGGAAAATAATCCGGTTTCTAAAAAATATTCTAATTTCTAAAAAAATTCACAGAAATAACGTGTTGTAAGATTTCCTGCAGTATCTTGAATTCCTTATTTAGAAATTTAGAATAAAGAAATGATTTTAGTGAATGTAGCTTACAGAATCAGGAAGCAATATTTAAAATATGTTTAAAAAATGATTATTTTGAAATGTATTTTTTTTACTAACATTGTTTTATCTAATTATTAACTTCCCGTAGGGTAATTTTATTATTTTTTAATATCATCTTGTTTTCTATACGTATAATTACATATGGAATAATACCTAATCTTAAGCTGAAAACTTATTAAAATTTTCATAAAACTAGTGATGTATGGCATCGTGCCTTAAGACAAATTACTGGACCTTCCCATACCAAAAATGAATTTTTAACTTCCCGAAGGAGAAGTTTGTCTTCATCAAAAAATCCGATTCGCTAATTTTATGTTTTCTCGACGTTTCAAGCCAAATGAGACCAAATTTAGAAAAAGTATTTGTGTGTGTGTATGTATGTGAACAGATTTTTTGCCGTAAATCCTCGTTTTCACAAACAGCTGGACCGATTTCAAAAATTTAAAAGCCATTCGATGTATCTCGTTTGTCAGTTTTGTGAGACGAACTGCCCAGCCGTTTTTTTGTAATTTGTGTTGAACTTTTCGTCCACATTTAACCTCAAACTATCGAACCTATTTTAAAAAATCAAAAACTGTTCGAAAGATATTAGTTGGGAATGATACTGATTAGTTTTAGGTAAAAATCTACCGAGCCGTTTTCTTGTAATTAACTGTTGAAAAAAAATTTGAGCCGATTTTTATGGAACTTATTTTGGCGATATATATCATGGTCTTACAGAACTTACTGAAATATTGCGGCCTTACGACAAGTAATTTATTTTAAAAATTCATCAAAGTTTGAGAAAATGAGTAGTTTTTTTGACGTTTGTAAAAATATAAATTAGACGATTTACTTGGTATAATGATAGAGTGCTTGATCTTAATAAATATACTAAAGTATTAAAGTTCTACGGAAACTGGTTCAATTATAAAAATTGTTGATTTTTGAAAATTTGCTCTTAGAAAATATTCCGAGTTAACGAGTTTGTTCGTTTTCAATTATATGCTATAAATCCAATCGGAATACTTTTAATCACTCATAAATTTTTATTTTTTATTAATTAAATCGATTATTTACACATATTGGGAAGTTCATGTAACTTGCATCAAGGCAAAATACCAATACCAACTAGTTTTTAAAAATGATTAAATTTTTTTTAAAACCTTGACAAAATTAGATTTTTGAGAAATTTTAAATTGAAGTTAATAATTTACTCAAGCTTCAACCCTTTTCACTCTGATGCTGCTTCTCTGGCGACAAAATTCGTATTATTTTTGTTATGCGCGAGTGGAAAGATTTAATATAATTCATCAGTCTTTTTATGCTATTTTGTTTCTGCATATCACTGCACATGGGATATGAAAATTTAATTTCTCCTATAGTATGGATAACTTTGCTAACTGTATTGTTTTATCGTGTTCAAGTATCGTTTGTCTGAAGTCTGTAAAATCTAATACGTTTCTTTTTTCTTTGATCTATTCCCATGACAGGACTATTATCCGGATCTGATAGTGAACGACTCGATAGCTTTCCTGCGACAGAGCAAACAGAATTCGTTGCGGAAGCCCATTATGTTGACGATGAGTTTTCCGGCGCCGCACGGACCGGAGGACAGCGCCCCGCAGTACTCGCATTTGTTTTTCAATGTCTCCACACATCAGTAAGTGACTAAAATATTTTAAATAGTAATAAAACAATAATTACATTATTGTTTTAACTTTATTTGCATTATTGATCTTTTTATTTTGAAAAAAATATTGAACTACTTAAAACTTCAGATTTACTTATCTGGGATTTTGATGAAATTTTGCATGGTAGTACAATTGATAAAAATATGTACTTTGAGTTTAGAACACCTTCAAATATTATATACATACTAAATGGAGCTTAAATATAAAAATTAATTAAAAATTAGAAAAATACTTATACTAGGCAGTCTTAAGTATACTTTTTATAAAACGAAAGATATTTTTAAATTATAGTATTTTGTTTTTGATGAAATACTCCTATTTAGGGTAGAGCGGGGTTTAGAGTAAAAGAGTCCTCCACCGATATTTCAAAAACAAGTAAAGCTTTCTTTTTTTAGTTTTTCTATATCTCAGTCAGGCAGGGGTGCCTGGTAAAAGAGACTATTGATAAATTCATACATAGTCTTTAGATAACAAGTCTATATAAAAACAAGTTAAGAATTTTTTAATAACAATATTTGAAAGTAACGGGAAAAAGATGTACAACCAACTATCACCTTGATTCTTACGACGTTGCTATTGAAAGAAAACAGCAATGTTTAAACATCCATAAAAAAGTAGTTTCTTTCATTGTTAGTTTTTGTAGCCATGAGCACTGTTGCTTAGTTTACAAGACTTTAATATAATTTTTAAGTATACGTTATTTATTTGTTTTATAAGATGTTTTGTTAATTTTCAGTTTGATTCAATCATTTTTTCTAAATAACCTCTATTAAAAGCTTTTACCTGGGTGGGGTAAAAAGGAGCCACTGAAACTCTACTCTTAAAACGTAAAAATGAAAGAAAAGCAAATGAATAAGTTGATTAAGTTTAAGAAGCAATTTTACAAAAAATGAATTAGATAAATAGTTATTTTAAATCTGCTGATGAATATTTTTGACCAGATCAAGGTTATTTACAATGTTATCTCGGTGAAAAATGCCCCCATGAAATTTATACTTCGTATTGGTTGAATAATGTAGCTATTACTTGGAAAATTCATATTAAATTAGACTAAGACATTAGACTTATTTACACCCTGGCCGTCCGAACACACTGTTTATGGGGTAAAAAGGACCAGGTTACAACTTATTGAAAAACAGCAAAAGGAACACATTTTTACTATGATGAAATTAAGCTGGGAGTTTCATTGAGCATAGATTAGATTTATGTTATCTGTTGTCATGTAATAGATTGGTTTTCACAATATAAATTCTCAAAGTCATATTGGACCTTTGTGTCTCGCCCCACCCTATATATATTAAACTATTCACAATGAGAACTTTGGGTTTACTCGTCTAGGGTTTTGATGAAATTTCGCATGGTAATAGAGTGTTATGAAACCTTGTGTGTAAATGCCTCGAATGACTATATGCCTATGGGTATTGGTATAAATATGAAAATTAATTAAATATAAAAAATAAGCTTTTTGTCTTTCCAAATTTATGTTCATGCAAGCAGCTATTTAAAAAGCAATAAAAGTGTTTGTATAAAATATCTACAACACGTCAGCTTCTATAGCTATAGATTTATTCCAGTGCTTGTAATTGACAAATCACTTAAACAGATTCGGAGTTTGTTATTATATTGTACCAAAGTACCTGATTTTATACTAATAATCAAGTTACAAAATATTTTTACGTTTTTGTGTCGACGGGTTGAAGACGTCGAGGGTTGGTTGAAAATTTTGCTTCAATTTCACTAAAAATATTAAAATTGAATTTGAGGCTGATCACATGCCAAAATAGTTAAATCATAATTATTTCTTATAAATAATAGAGTATAAAAGAAAATATTGTCCAAAATAAGTAATTGTAAAGCAGAAAGAACAACGTTGGTTTATTAAGCCTACAGAAGCTTAGAACATCGTATATTCAAGTTCATGTAGTATATTGTTTCATAAGATATCAGTATATCTTAATTACGTAAAGCTGACTATTATAAATCACATAGATCATTTAAAGGTAACAAACCTCCATTGCACATACATCAAAATCTTCGTTCCAGTAATAAACAGAAACGCGTTAAACGCGTTTGAAATATCTTTAATGTTGTTATACGTGGGTCGGTCTTCTTTTTAAGCAAATGATACATTATCCAGATACTATAATTGTTAGGTGTGTACGATGATGTATATTGCAGACGTTCGTAATATATCGCCGTTGATTGGAATGAAAAATAAAATAGAGCATTAGTCTTACCGTGTCGGTGATTAAATAAGAAAACAACTACATAATACAAGAATGTACCAGTGATATATGTGATATATGCAAAAAGATACCTACAACTTCTTACTGCTATTTGACTTAGTTTTAATTATATAAAATAAATCTATAATATAAACATGAATCGCAAAATGTGTTGGTAAGCGCATAACTCAACAACGCCTGGACCAATTTGGCCAATTCTTTTTTATAATGTTCGTTGAAGTCCAAGGATGGTTCTTACGGTGAGAAAAAATCGAATAATTGCCGGGAAAACCCTAAAACAGCCCTTTTCTTTTTCACATACAAACGTTAGTTATTTTCATAATTTTACCATCCGAACGGAATATTTACTCAAGTCAATGGGAGCGTTTTGAGTTTGAATTTTTTTACTGTGCTCCAATTCGTATAAAATTTTAAAATTAGGTTTATCTTACTCTCAAGTTCAAAAGTGAAAATAATATAGACTCCTTCATCATTTCCCGGGGGGATGACATCCCTCTCAGTGGTGTAATTTCATTTTTTTTTTCAAAATAACGTCGGATATCAATAAAAGAACTAATTATAAGAAAAAAGTGTTCTATGTTTTCAAAAAAACAAATACTTATCATTTTATTTAAAGCAATTGTACATTTAAGATCCATATGAATAGATGTAAATACATTTCGGTATAGACTTAGTGTAAAAAAACATAATTTTAACTGATTGGTAAATATCAGTATAGGTTATTAAAAAAATTGAACTTTTGAATTGTAAGCATAAGTACAGGTCAACGTCTGTCGGGTCATCTAGTTTTTAAATAAAATCATCATTTTTCATTATCATCAGCCATCAATGTTTTTTTATCGATGGGGCTTACATATGGATTGATGGTTAGGGCTATGGAATTTGAATCAGAGGCTCCAAATTCGATACTTTTTTCGGACAGTCTGATGTCAAGCAGTGTTGACATTGGTCTTCACTTGGAAATGTAGAAGCAATATGTTTTCAAGTTAAAATAGTTTTCATCTTAGATTTGATGCATCTAATAATCTATAAATACAGAAATTGTAATAATTAAAGCTCATCACATAGAGATAAGCCTATTGATTTTGGTTACCATCTATAAAAAGCCACGACGTTAAGATAAGCTCAAAGAATTCGTTAAGTTCAGATTGATTGAAATATAAAAAAAAAACAATAAAATTATTCGTTTAATATAGTGTAACAATTAACACATTATTCAATAACTTCGTAGGAACTTGTTTTGACATAATATATTATAATCAATAATTAGGTAAGGATTTGCTGAATGTTTTATAACATTTTATGATGGTCAGTTACATCCTGTTACTATCAAATAAAAATTATACATTAATTTAATAGTAAATTAATATGTAATTAGTTACAATATATCCACAGACTTATTGAGTTATGTGTTATTTGGTTACCTCATATAACCATTATTTTAAATCGATGTCTCCTAATTGCTATGTCATATTAATATTATATACTTATATAATTGCATATTATGCTAAATCTTAAAGTCGTCATAAATTCGTCGTCGAGGTGAAAAAGTTGGTCCTACAAAAAGGTGGATGCTAAACCATTCGTATATTTGTTCGAAATAATAATGGTTGAAGTCCGAAATTTTTGTTCTTGAAGTTTTGTCTTTACTATGTAAATGTGAAGAATAATAATAGTACCCAAGTATAATTAAGACATTCTAAAACTTAGAACAATATTGATCACATAGTCTTTAAAAAATATAAACTCACATTGTGTGTGAGTTAGTGTTATTTGCACTACATGATCTATAAAGCCTGTCTGAAAAAGTCTCGCCGATGAATTTTCGTTTATATTTACCTTCAGTTCAACCATCCGGTATTTTATTACGCTCTTCGGAGGAAAAAACCTCTTCAATATGACATTTACACTTGAAAATGATATTTAACACAATATTATTGATGATGAATATAATACATAATGATGCGACTGTCCGGTTTTAACCATTACCGTAACTTAAGATGTTTCAACAAAATAAACCAAACAGTTTTTACTGAAGTAGAAGAGGCGCCGGTAAGCTTTCGATAATTGAAATATTTAACAAAATATCTTTCAAAATCTATTTAGGTCATACATGTCATTTTTTTTTTTTTTTTTTAACTCAGTTTTATTTAGCAATCAGAAATACATAAAGATTCCTATGAGCTAAAATGACAATATTTTAAGAGCGATGTCTAAGAAGAACTCCAATGAGAATTTCTCAGTTTTACAATTATATGATATTATATTAGACCTAATCGAAGACTAAGTCTAAAGGTCATTTTCGTTTCAATCTCCTCATTCCAAAAGGTTGAGTAATGTCAACTATAGTTCGAATAGTTCGAATGTGAGTCTAGTTTACATGTCAATTTTATGTAGGTATTTTCTAAAAAAAAAGTATTGCGAAATTCTATAACGCATTATAAAACTGATAAATCAATATTATTTTAAGTACAAGTCTTAATATAATTATAACTAAATTTAAGATATATAAATGCTGTATTTAAGTACTAATTTTTTCTTGCCGGTCATATTTCAAGATACATTTATATATGAGTTTTGTACATAGATTATGCAGAATATGGGTAAAAAATTTTCCATTTCTGTTTGCAACGCAAAGTAATCCTTCCTCAAGTTTTATTTAATAAATTTTACGGCCATTTACTTGAAATTATAATCATTGATTTACTTTATATGAGATTGTTTCCA